CACGGATATATACATTCACTACACAAGCCTTGCTGATTCTCATCTCCCTGCCTTTGCTCACCCATAACCTTTGTTGTCACATGCCGCCATTCAGTTCTGACTCACAGCAATCCTGTATAGGGTTTCTGAAGGGTAATTGGTGGGTTTGAATTAATGACCTTGTGGTCAACAGTCCAGTGCTTATCATGCAGCGCCACACCAGGACACCCAGAAGACACCTAAAACCTCATTAATGGTCCTTTCATCCCACTAAGGAGCCCTGGTGGCCCTGTGAACTAAACATTGGGCTGCTAACTGCAAGGGCAGTGGTTCAAACCCACCAGCTGCTCGACTTCCATGTAGCCTTTTGTGATTTGGTTCTAGGATCTAGTCCAGTCACTTAGCCACTGTAGAATGGGTTAAGTGCCTGGACCCTTCTTTGGGCCTCTGCCTCCTTACTTGTTAAATGAGAAGGTTGGGTTCCATCTCTTAGGACAAGCTGTGGAATCTGAGTCTAACTACCCATGTGACCTTTCTGTCTCAGGTCCCAGCACACGTAAGGCTAACATCAGCCATCACCCCGAACTGTTCTGTGTTGGGTTCTCTGCATGTTTGTCTTGTGCTCTGCAAAAACATGGCACGTAGCATTCCTCCCACAACGCTCTTACTCAGCTGGCTTACAATGGCCACACCAGACTTAGACACCACCCTCACAGTTAGGGAGTTTATTAGGAAAGTTAACAGTTACAATTCAGGATCAGAAATGCTCAGGGCGCAGTTGTTCCAGTCAGCTGCTGATAATTGCCCATAGGACACACCAATATCTACCATAAGCCTCAGTCTGAAGGCACTCAACTCAGCAAACCTAGCTCCCCCACTTAAGTACCTGGAGGCACCTCAGTCTGTAAGCAATCTTCCTGCCCGAAGTCACTCAGATTTATTTGCTTTGTGGGCTGGGACGTCCGCTGCTCTGTCTCATGCTCTGGTTCTGGGTTCTGCTGCTGCTGCTCTTCTGCCACTCCCCAGTGTCACAGCTTTCTGTCCCTGGATCGAGGAAGCTCAATGTGCAGGGATTTCGGGGTCCAAAGGGCATGCTCCACTCCTGGTTCTTTTTCTTTGATAGTAGTGCGCTCCTCCCTCCTGCTTCTGAGATGACTTATTTTAAACGCATGCTAGAGTTTCAAGTTTTTATGGTTACAATGAACTTGTTAACATCCACAGCGGAATCATGTCAGTCTATCAGTATCTTCTCCCACCTTCTCTTCCCCAGACCCAGCAGGGCAGAAACTTTGTTTGATGGGAGTTACAGATGATGGATAGAAGAGACATTGGATAATTCACTACACCACAGGCTCTTAATTATACTTAAGCTGCTGGAGGGTTGGAATTGTCCTCTGGCCTTCTGGTTGCTTTCTAGAACGATGCCTTGTAGAGTTTCTCTTTCTGCTGCTTCCTCCTTTTCTCTTCCCCATCTTTTAAAACAATATGATTCTCATACAAATGGCTTGACCTGCCCAAACTACTTCCTTCCTAGAATGAGGCCAGCTGCACTTCTAATAAGTACCCTACTAGTTGTAAGGTAAGTAGGGGTAGTGCTTTGGTTACAGTGAAGGAAAAGGCAGAAGAACTGAAGGCCTGGTAAGACTTGGAGACAGAGACCAGATCACTGTTATCTTTCATTTCCAAGGTCCAGCAGAATGCCCCTGGGACCTGAGTGGTTTGTGAAACTGAATTGACTAGCCACTGGGCATTATGAAATTGTACAGGAATATGTACTCATTGTAATGTGCCTGAGTCATCAAGAAAAAGTTATATTATGTTTTGTAACCTGTTATGAGAAGGCAGGGAAGTCTATGATCTATTTCAGGAAGATTTATTTCCCAATTAGGCAAATTAAATACTTTTTTTGCACTTGAAAGGCTTGGCTCCAAGTGATCCGGAAAATTCATTTATGTGCAGCGCTCCATTTCTAGACTGTGGCAGGTAGAGGAGGTGGGCCTCTATTTTGAGTGGGCTTTGCTTATTTGTCTTTCCATAAATGCATTCTTGGTTCTTTCAAATGTATGTTGACTTGTGAGACATCCTTAGGCTTCCCCTGACCTAGGTGGTGATCCATTGGTATCCTTTCATTGTACAGAGCTTTACATGAACAACAGGCACTTAGGAAAGATTTACAGCCTCAGAAACCGTGTACAGAATCGCTATGAGTCGGAACTGACTCCATAGCACATAACCACCTACCACTACCAGTGAGCCTTCAAACTGCCTGGATGAGCCGAATTTCTTGTCTTCATTCTCATCTCTGATTCCCCTTCCTTGCATCTCCTCCTCTTGTGTGTCTACATCCTACTTATGTTATCTGTGTGCATTGTATGTGGGTGTGAGGGTGTGGCTGTGTGTTCTGCCATTGACTCTTGGGTCCGTCACGCTCACTCTCTCCATGTAGTGCTGTTGGAGTGTCCACACAGATATTTCCACACGGGAGAGATCCTCTGATCTTTGCAGCCATCTCAGTTTGTGTAGGATGTGGGACTCTCAGTGTCAAAATTTGGCACAGTTTCAGTTTGCCTGGGACAGCTGATAACCCTATCTATGAAAATGCCCAGCGACCATTTTTCCTTTTTTGGGCAGCCCTAAAACATTTCTGTGCCTTTACTGTCCTCAGAATTCCTTCAGAAAGCTAAGGTGGAACTGGGGTATCTGTGTTCTTAAAAGACTCCTCAAGTAGATTCCAATGAACACCCAAAACTGAGAGACAGTTGCCATGAAAGCCAAAGTATATAGGGTGTCTTACGTTGGTTGGTTGGTTGGTTTTATTCTCTCCACCCATTAAGATTTGCACTCAGGATACCAAATTCCTGCTTCAGCCTCTCGGTCACAGTGGAAGTGCCCAAGACACTTATGTGACCCTGGTGCTCCAGCTAGCCCTCTCCTGTTCTAACACTGTTCTGGGTCACTCTAGCTCACTCTAGCTCATAGGGTCTCCTCCCTACTGGCTCTGGAGCCTTATCTTTTTGTTTTAAAAGTTTCTGGTTTCCAGCAGATGATGGCCTCAGATGACCAGAGGTCAGCTGCCCTACCCATGGTTCCCTTCCAGGAAACTTTCCACCTTCAACATTCACATGGAGACCCATGGCTACAATGTGGAACAGATATGGAGAGATATCGAGGATGTCATCATCAAGACAATCATCTCGGCGCATGCGACCATCAAGCACAACTACCACACTTGCTTTCCCAACCACACACTCAACAGTGCCTGCTTTGAAATCCTGGGCTTCGATATTTTGTTGGACCGAAAGCTCAAACCCTGGCTGCTGGAGGTAGAGAGGTTTGGGTGCGGGTGCAAACTCTTTCCTGCTACTCATGTCTGCTAGCTTTTTCAGATTCTCCTGGTTGCTACTTCCTCCCAGGGTGCTTACTGAGCCTGGGGCTTCGCTCTTAAAAGTGGCCACCAGAGGGGGGTAGACGGCAGGGAATTAGAGAATCCCTTTTGCCATCTTGAGGTTCACCCAGACTTGGAAACACTAATCTTGGCCACAAAGTGATTCTAAAAATAGTTCTACCTTTTGTAACAGAGTCATCTCCTTCAAAAGGGGAATTCTTCATCAACTGGGTTGACTTCAGTGCTCAGTATGAGACAAGAGTTGCTATGCCTGGCTCTCAGGGGCCTGTACTATTCTGTTCCAAGTGCTAGCAGAGAATGACCTGGTGTCTGCTGCCATGGGAATGAGTGTGGGAACCACTCAGACCTATGGAGTGTTGAGAGAAGAAAAAAAACTAGCTTTTGGGTGGCTGCCTCTTTTCTCAATTGGACTTGTCCTCACGAACTCTCTCAAGGACACCCTTCAGAATGTATCACAGGGAGAAGAGGGTGTGAAGTGCAAGTCAGAGGTGCATATTCCAGGTGTAAGTGACCCAGAGACAGACTTTAGAGCAGAGAAAACAAAATTACAGATCCGATTCCTGGGCCTGGCCCTTCCTCTGTTACCCACACTTACTTCCAACTGTGGGTGGGGAAGAGGATATGGAAATGGCTGCTCGTAACTCTCATTTAAATATCAGTGGTAGCTACCAGGAGCAATTTCCCAAAATTACAGTAGAGTTCTACGGATGTCACATTGGAAGTCTAACCAATTTTTGGACTTTTCTTTGGGCAGGAAAGAGTCTTTTCTCTCCTATTTATCTTTTCCTCAACCCTGGTCAGGTTCCTGATGTATCTTTTCTGCCTACTCTACCCCTAAATCTGCCCCTTTGGGCTGCCCCCTCCCATTCTGCTCTATGAAATGACAGCGCATGTGTGAATACATGCACACCAGGTGGAGGGGAACGCTCCAGTTTGGGCAGGTCAGGCCATTTGAGAATCATATTGTTTCAAAAGATGGGAAAAAGAAAGAAGAGAAAAGGAGGAAGCAGAAAGAGTGAGGCAGAAAGCGTGAGAGAAAAGCTGTTCAGACCAGAGGGACTTTTTCTGCTTCATCTTTCCCCACTGTGGCTCTAGTCTAGACCCTCTTTCTACTCCCTTCGACCTGCCTTGGTAGCCAGGGCCCCAGGTCGGCTTTGATAGCACTCAGGTAGCACTCATTTCCACTCTGGACAGCCCAGCTCCCAGCTGTCGTCTTGTCCTTACAGGTCAACCATTCTCCAAGCTTCTCCACCGACTCCTGGTTGGATAAAGAGGTGAAGGACTGTTTGCTGTATGACACCTTGGTTCTGATCAACCTGGGAACCTGTGACAAAAAGCAAGTCTTGGAGGAGGAGAGACAGCGGGGACGGTTCCTGCAGCAATGTCGTTCTCGGGAGACCAGGTGCAGGAGCCTTACCCTTCTCCAGGGAACACATTCCATATAACTTTCCTGTTCTTAATACGATGGGCCTGCCCTAGTCCAAGTGATAGCTGGGCAGCCTATAACTATAAGTTATGTGACCTTTAGGACACTTTTGTGCATCTGTGTTCTTTCTATGAAACAAAGCTGTTGTTGTTGTGTGCCCATTGAGACAATTCCAATTCATGGCGACCTTGCATAGGGTTTCCGAGGAGCAGCTGGTGCATTTGAACCGCCAATCTTATGGTGTGCAGTCCAGTGCTTATCCTACATCGCCACATCAGGTGCTAATAATATATAATACATAGGTTGTTGGGGTGGGGTGTTTAGTGAGATAATGCATAGAAAAAGTTTATCAGAATGCCTGGAACTTAATAGAGACTATGAAGAATCTTGGAGTTGGGTAGTGGATGGTCACTTCTGACAAGTGATAATCCTACTTGGGAAATGAGTTTGTATTTGCAGACTGTAACAGATTAAACACTTTTCCTATGAACATTCTTCTGTTTCTAAAAATACAAGAGTAAGTTAAAGATATAACTATATATAATGGATATGAATGCTCTAATATATGAAGATTTGGGAGTTACCAATATAAAAAATAGAATCATCTCTTTATTTTTACTGAAAAGAAAGAGCTGTGTCTCTTCCATTTCACTGTGTTGGCAGAAGCTAATGTCTCTCTATCCCTGGGTGGTACACAGTTTGCACCTAGGTCTCAGAAACTACACAAAGTCGCTATGAGTCAGAACCAAACTCCAGGACACTTAACAACAACATCTTTCTACTCCCATAAAGATTTACAGCCCTGGAACCTTATACGGGGTCACTGTGAGTTGGAACCGACTTGGTAGCTCAACACCACCTCCATCATCACTAAATGAAAGACTGGCACTTTGAATTCACCTAGTGTTGCCCAGGAAAAATGCCAATCTACTTCTGTAAGATTGTAGTCATTAAAAACCTGTGTCGCTAGGTGTATTCTGAAGAAGTGTGGTCACCATGAGTTGGAATTGCATTGTTTTTTGGTATTAATGTCCCTTTGCATATGTGTGGTTTTTTTAAAGGTAATGTAAGGAGTTAGGGCTGGGGTTAGTTCTTTGGCTGAGTCTAGTGTTTTGGTTAGTGATGGGGCTAGGGCTAGGGCTAAGTGTAAGGCTTGGTCTAGTTTTAGGGTTACAGTTAAGTTTATTTTTTATTATTGACTTTTTCTTGCAATCTCTTCATTTGGAAGTTCTGTAACTATATTATTCCCTCTTTTTACTTTGTTGTTGTTATTGCAAACTCATATCTCTGCTCCCCTTTTCTCAGTCTTGGAGGTTTGTTTTACTTTGAATGCTTCTATATCTGGGTTGAGATCTGGGTGATATTGTCATATATGTTAATTTCAGATTGTTGTCTGCTGTTGTTAGTTCTCCATCCAAAGGACTCATTTTATATTGTTTGTAAGGTTGGTCTAGTTTTTACAAATTCTTTTACTTTCTGTTTATCTGGAAATGTTCTATACACTATCATATTTGCTGGGTATATGATTCTTGGCTAGCAGATTTCTTTTGGGGTTTTATATATGTCATTCCATTGTTTTTCTTGCCTGTATGGTTTCTGCTGAGAAATTAAAGTTTAGTCATATTAGTTCTCCTTTGTAGGTAACTTCTCCCCTCTCCGCTTCTCTCAGAATTCTTTATCTTTAATTTTTAAAAGTTTGATTATGATGTCTTGATTTTATTTTGGGGTCTATCCTCTTTGAAGTTCATTTGGTTTCTTGAATACAAGTCTTTTCATTTTTTATGATGTTAGGAAAGCTTTTTCTAACAACTCTTCTACAATTTTCTCTTTGTTTTTTATTTCTTCCTGTTTTGGAATGCTAATCACATATAAATTACTCCTCTTGATGGAATAAACTTCATTATTCCTAGCTAATTATTAAATGTTCTTTGGAATTTTTGGTTTATTTTTTTGCCTTTTTAAAAACAAAAACAAAAAAAACACCTTTTTATTGTGAATTGAGTGAAGGTTTACAGAGCAGATGATCAGTTTTTACATTCAGCAAATCATGTAACTTTCCTTTATCATAATTGTTGTATTCCCCTCCACATCCAACTGTTAATGGTATTTACCTGCATTCACTTTAGTGCTTGCATTCCTCCCTGTGCCTCCCACTACCTTCATCTCTCCTCTGCTAACCTCCCTCTTGTTGTATATTGCCTGCCCTGTCACCATGTTAACATGTGTACCCTCTAGCCCATGAATAATTTCCCTCTCCTCCCCACTTGTAACCATCATTGATTATTTCCTTTATTAAGAAAACTTTTTCCTAACTTTTGATAACATTGGTCTCATATGATGTTTTTCCTTTTGTGATTGACTAATTTCACTCAGCATACTGTCCTTCAGGTTTATCCATGTTGTGGGTATTTTGTCAATTCATCATTATTCTTTAACATTGCATAGTATTCCACTGTGTGTATGTACCAAAGTTCATTTAACCGTACTTCCATGATAGGCATTTAGACTGCCGCTGTCTTTTTTTTGATGTGTCTCTTGTAGATAACATATTGAAGGATCCTGTTTTCTTATCCATTCTACTCTCTCTGTCTCTTAACTGGTGCATTTAATCCATTTACAGTCAATGTAATTTTCTATAGGTATGAATTGATTGCTGTCATTTTACTTTGTGTTGTGTGTGTGTGTGTGTGTGTTGCTGTTGGTTTCTTTGTTCCACATAATTTCTGGTACTGAGTCATTCTGTTTGTATGTTTCTTTTCTTTCTCTTCATTTCTGTTGTTTTAATGTTTACAAAATCTTTTTGGATTTCCTCATTTTTTATTTTGATGTATAAGTATATTAATTTTCTTTGAGATTACCCTGTAATTTTTTTTTTCTTTATTTAAAAGTCTATTTAATCTTGAAAGCTACTTGATTTCCTAACCATTTGGAAGTTCTGTAGCTATACTATATTCCTTCTTTTTGCTTTTGTGATTGACTTCGTTATACATTAGCATCTCTGCTTCCCTACTTTCACTCTTGTTGGTTGGTTTACTTTATATATTTCTTATTTGGATTAATTTCTGGGTAGTGTTGTCATGTATGGTAATCTCAGATTGTTTTCTGCTGTCATTGGTTCTCAGTCCAAAGCACACCCTTTAGCATTTTTTGTAAAGTTGGTCTTGTTATTGTTAAGTGCTATTGAGTCGGTTCCAACCCATAGCAACCCTGTATAGGGTTTCCGAGGAGTGGCTGGTGAGGTTGAACCACCAACTTTGCAGTAGGATAAGTACTATAAAAAATATATATATTTAAAAAAATTACAGGGTAACCTCAAAGAAAATTAATATACCTACACATCAAAATAAAAAATGAGGAAACCCAAAAAGATTTTGTAAACACTAAAACAACAGAAATGAAGAGAACGAAAAGAAACATACAAACAGAATGACTCAGTACCAGAAATTATGTGGAACAAAGAAACCAGCAGCAACACACACACACACACACAAAAAAAAAAAAAAAAAAAAAAAAAAAAACAAAACGAAAAAAAAAAACTGGCCTTACGGTTGAGTACTTATCCTACGGTGCCACACCAGGACTCCCAAAGTTGGTCTGGTCATTACAAATTCCTTTAATTTCTGTTTATCTGGAAGTGTCCCAATTTTGCCTTGGTATTTGAGGGACAGCTTTGTTGGGTATATGATTCTTTTCTTCAGAGTTTTGTATATGTCATACCATGGCCTTTTTGCCTACATGGTTTCTGCTGAAAAATCAGAGCTTAGTCTTATTTGTTCTCCTTTGTAGATAACTTTTCGTTTTTCCTGAGCTGCTCTCAGGAGTCTTTCCTTGTCTTTGATTTTGGAAAATTGGATTATGATATGTCTTGGTGATTTGATTTTGGGATCTGTCTTGTTTAGGGTTCATTCAGCTTCTTGTGTGCTTCTCTTTCATGATGTTAGGGAATTTCTCTGTGCTTTTTATTGTCTCTTCCTGTTCTGGAATTCTGATGACTAATAAGTTGTTCCTCTTTATGGTATCCTATGCAACTCTTACTCTTTATTTGGATTTTTTTTGTTCTTTTTTTCTGATTGTTCTTCTAGCATATTAGTACTGAGAGATTCCTCTTCAAGCTCACTAATTTGGACTTCATTGCTTCTAATCTTTTCCTTTGCTCTTTTGGATGTATTGTCCATTTCTGAAATCTTAGTATTGATCTTCTGTACTGTTAATTGCAGATTTTGTATTACTTCCAAATTTGCATTTATTTTGTCTATTTGTTCTTGTAATGTTTTCCTGAATTCTTACCAGATTTTTTCTGTGCTCTCCTTGCTTTCCTTACTCATTCCATCAATTCTTATAGGGTACCTAAATATCATTCTTTTGAATTCTTTTTTAGTTTGTTCCATTACCTTTTCATTCTCAGCAATGTGTTTTGACTCTACATCTTGGTCATTTGCTTGAGCCATTCTCTCATTTCTTTGTTAAAATTGTCTGCTGTCTCTGAGCACTTTAAGGTTGTTGTATTTGTATTTAATTTATGATTGTGTGTTGATGTGTTTTCAGGCTCTCAGCACCTGTCTCCTGTAGGTGTAATTATAGAACAGAAGCATGTGTACTGTTCTCATTAGCTGCTCACACACCTCGGTTTAGGGTGGGTTTGGCTGAAATTTGGCTGCTGTCTATTGTTGATCAGGTGGTATAAAAAGCTGATATTAGCTCTTGCCTAGTGGGTGGATGGTACAATTGTACCTAGATGGTACAATTGTGGCTGGACGTATGGAGAGGGTTTCTGGCTCCAGTTGGGTGAGAAAAGAAAACCTCTCCCCCTGCCACAAGAAAACAAAACCAGAATAAACAAATAAGGAATCAACAATGAAAAGAAAAAATAATAAAGAGATAAACAAGCAGCAATCACAGAAAAAGAATATAGTAACTATAAAGACAAAAGAGAGACAGGGAAATGGAGTTACAGAGGAGAAAACTAAGTGAGAAAATAAAAGGAAGAAATTTAAAAAACACAAGAATAAATAGAAAAAAGAGGTACAGGGAAATGAAGCTTTAGAAAAAAATAAGAGGGGGTGGGGCTAGAAGGGAAGAAAAAAACAAAACAAAAGAAAAACCATTGAGAGGAAAGGTGAAGGGAGTAGAGAGTAGTAATGAAAGATCAAACAGGAAAAAAGAAAAAAGATGGAAAATGAGACACAGATGAAAAAAGTGTTAACAGAAATGGAGTATAAAGGAAAACATTAAAAGAAATGGAAAGAGAAGAAGAAGGAAGAGAAAGAAGAAACAAAACAATGAAGCAACAAAAAGAAAAAAAGAAACCCCCAAACAAAAACAAAACAGATCAGCTGTTAGACCTAGAGAGGAGAAAACTCAGGGGCTCCTATAAGACAAAGAGTTGATGAACTAGATGGGAGGAATGTGATAGAGTAGCTGGCCCTACAAGAAGTTCCTATTGGCCTCAGTGTTATCTATGTTCAGAGCACTCAATCCAAAAATAGTTTGTGGAGGCCCTTGATGGAGCTTATTTCAGTGTATGTTAGGACAATAGAGCAGCTAAGGGCTGGGCCTACATCATTTTTTGCTTCTGTCCCATTTAGCTCCTTCATACCTGTCTAGTCGTTCTCCCATCTGCTTTGTTCTTCCATTCCCCTCTACCTACTTGTATACTAGTCGTTCTCCCATCTGCTTTGTTCTTCCATTCCCCTCT